TGTTTCCATGAGGTTGGGGTTCAAATGGAGCTTTGTTTGGTTTTGCGCAGAAGTTTGTTGTATTAACAAGTTGGAAGACATCTGCAAGAACAACGGTGAAGACAAAAAATGTGAAGAAGAGGTAAATGCCACTTCCTAATGAACTTGTTTGCTTTTTAAATATCAAACGCCATGTTAGCGCACAATTGAAAACGATTAAAATGCATAAAGAAAATGTGTGGCATACTGTGCCAAAGAATAACGGAGGAGGGCATATGACATTGTCAAAAGTGTAATCACGTTCGGGTTTGTTGGGATGGTTTGGGGTATTTGGGTTGTCAGGACCATTAGGTTTTTCGTTTCTGTCAGAAGTAGTGAATGGAAATGACTTTGGACGTTTAGTGGTAGAAGACACAACCATTGGTATATATGGGAATATTTGTTCCATTTCACATTTACTGCGAGTCTCGGAAGACTGTTTTAATGATGGTAATACAATGAAAGAGTAATCATACACAATTGGAATTATAGAACAAGTTATAACAGCAACAGAAAACAGTAATATCAAAAAGTTTTGAAAAGTGACTTTGCACTGGACTTGGAAGATCATTATTTTTTTTAAGTTTATTTGTTGTTGCAAAAAGTAGTTTTTAAATAGAAGATTATTATATTGTACATCACTCAAAGTGGATTCTAGTTATGATACTAATATGTGAAATTTAGTTTTATGTTAATTATTTCTTTATGTAAAGACACTTTACTTTTAATTTCTTTGTTTCATTGTTTTATGTATATTTTTATTATAATTTATACTATTTTCTTTTTTAAAATAATTACAAAATCGGCTTTTTTTAAATAGCTTTTTTAAACTATTTTTAATTTAATATTTTAGTTTAATTTTATTTATATTTTTATTCTATATAATATAAGAAATAATAATTATATAATTGTATAATAAAATAAAATAAAATTATTTATCATATAATTTATTATTTCTATATTTAGTTAACTAAATAAATTGAAACTATAATATAATAAGAATAATTATATTTAAAAACAAAAAATAACGATTGTATTATTTTAATTGATTTATAGTAAATATATAACTAAATATAAAATACACTTAAGACCAAAAAAAAATAAATAAACATTTTAATCAAAATAAGTTATCTAAATAATAAAAATAAACTAATAGACAAAAATTCGATTCATTCCAAAATCTGTGTTTCAAATTAAAAATTTAAAAAGCATATAAAAACACTTAAACCTTGGCTTATTAAATTTATATAATAATTAAATTATAATTTATAACACAATCTCTATTATGGTCAAAATTAATGAAACGTTTTAATTGACAATTATTATTTTTGACAACCATCATATTGATTTAATTAATATTATATCATAAATATATTAGAAAATATAAAGTGTTTATTTTTAACTATATTAATACATGAAAATAAAGTGTTTTTTTGAAAAACCCAACAAAAATAGAACATGATTTAAAACTTCAAAATATATTTAGACGATAAATAAGATCTTTACATAAGAATCAAATTACCCGTTTTATTGCACTTAATTTTTATATTGAACTAAACAATTTTTCAAAAAATTCTCACTGAATATAATAATATTTTATAAATATATAATAAATAATTTAACATAAATAACCATCTCGACTAAATAAGATGATAAACATAAAAAATCCAAAAGAATGTTGAAAGCTATATCTGTTAATAAATTATGGATTTACTTTAATACTCTCTTTCCAAAAATTTTCTCTATTAAACTCAAAAAGACAATAATCGCATAACAATGAGCAGACTCCGCTCAAACACACGGAACTCCAATGACGTCGAAACTATCGCTTCTTGGTCAGAGGAAGAACAACAAACACTCGACCAAAATCTTTTGACATATCCCGCAGACAGCTATTCTGAATTTAAACGGTTGGCGCTGTTACTCACCAACTTACCAACCAAGAGATTAAGAGACGTGTCGCTAAGACTTCAATTCATGAAAGCATTTGACGAAAACAAGTCTCTTACCTGGGACGATTTCATTAAAAGTACAATGTCACCAAGACCTAAAGGCGAAAAGTATAGAAAAGACTCGCCCACACACTCTGGAAAGTGTTCACCAAGAACTCCACGCTCGTGTCGTGAACTGACAGACTCCCCTTTAGAATCACCAAGATACAAAAAACCACCAACGTTCAAGCAAAAAATCATCCCACCACCTCAACCAACCATCCAACAATGCGTGAAAGCTCCTCAAAAACTCATTGACGACAACAACAAAATTTTGGATAAGTTGGACAGATCTGTTGGTCAAAACAAAAATTTTGAATTCAAAGACTTTGTGATGTTTTACTCGAACTGCACAGCCATTCTGGACGCGACAAAAACTGTGGGACTTCCTGTTATGACACAATGTCCTATTAGAATATCAGAGGCAGATATAGAAGCAAGAACAACACCACGGAGTGTGACTGGGTCAGTCTCATTCCAGATCGGACATGTCCCACGACTCGTTATGGCAAGCGGAAAGTTATACAACACACAGCCCGTCCAGCAACAAGTGTACTACATCGACCAACAACCAAACCAATTACAAACAATTCAACAGCCAATACAGAATACCCCCATTATCACAACCGTTTTAAGAAGAAACCAAGACATGATGTACGAAGGAAGTCAAACACAACCCGCCGAGCTCTCAACCCAACAGGGTCAGATGTTCGAACAAATTGAAGACTACCAACAAGACGGAGGAGATTCGTTCATTAATGGGAGCTTTGGTGGATATGGGCTTACTGTGTCTTCACTCAATTCGCACTGAGCGAAGGGTGTGATCTGTACTAATATACTTTTGTTGTTAAAACTCTAATTGAATGGACTTGCGCCTATTTAAAACCCGAAAAATAAGAGTATTTAACAATACAAATAAAATATTATACTAACGTTAATATGAAACTCAAAATATATTGTAAGTTAAATATATTTCATAATATATTTGAATAAATAGCCTCATGTGTTATGGTAACCCAGAATCGTCTATTGTATGGTCCAAAATCTCATTCAAATTGTTTTGGATGTATTGGCTCAGTTTCTGTGCGTGATAGAGCTTTATTTCAATGACTCTTCTCTCTGCAAACCCGTGTACGTCGTTTCTAAGAAGGAACGTGTCTTCTGAAGGAAGGACCGTCAGACGCGCAGTGAGCATGTCCGTCTCGTTCTTTAAATCTGACATCAACCCACCGAGTCCAGTGACTGTTGTTGGTAACTGTGGTACAGCATTAGGCGAATACTTTGTAAAGTACATTCTCGAAGAGTCTGCCTGGACGTTACACTCTTCTTTGGCGACTTGGGCTTTCATCTCAGCAAGGGTTTCGTTTAATTTTGTTAATGTAGGGCTCGATGGCCATGCATTGTTTGCATTGAAGTAGTTGTACGTGTACAAAGCAATTCCCGTCTTTAATGCTTGATACTCTTGAAGGAGTTGGAAGTACGACATTGGTTGTGGGTAAGCAGGTCGATGGAAAAAAAGTCTGTCATGCTCCAAGTACGTACTGATATCTTCGATTGTGTTAATTTCCACAGTTATTGGGAACGTCACCGGTTGAATGTTTTGTGATAACATTTTGTTCGAATCGATTGCGAGTGGCACAAACGGTATTTTGAATATTTCAAACAGGTGTTTTGGCACAAGATTTGGTGCGTTTTTAAACAAAGCGGTTAGCCCGTTTTGGACGATCGTAACAGGAAATGTGAAAGCGTCTTCTTTATTGATTCTGACGAAGACGGGAGTTTCAACAATCCCAAAAGAACGCTCGTTCATCTTGTTGAGTTCTGAAAAGTTTGCTAAATAATAAAAAAAGATTGAGAGGAAGGCCAAGATGTCTTGGTGTGTTTGAGGAAGAGAGTCAAAAAGCCTTTGTGCACTTTGTGGTTGTTGCAATAAATCTTGCATGTATATGACGCTCTCTCTGGGGATTAAAGGAAACGGGAGTTCATAAAGTAAAGAGTTAAGTAATCCCGAACACAAATAGACATCCTTGTCAAACGATTTGAATAGAAAATGCTTGATGTGTGTTACGCCATCCGAGTTAATGTCTCTCTGTAACTTATCCAAGACTGACTGATTTGGTGGTATTCTGAACAGCCCTGGTTTTATAGCGTTTCTTGGTTCGGATAAATACACGCAACAGAAGTAAATCAGTGACGGAATACGATGGTCAAATTGTCCCGTCTTTCTGTTTTGAAGGGTTTCTAATGATGTGCCAAAGTATTTAGTTCGAGTGAATATGTTTTTGATAACTTTCATTGTGTTTTCATAGTTCATTTTTTTCTCTTTTCCAATGTATTTCATTAATTCCATTAACTATCTTTATTTTTTATATTATGTTTACACGTGTTTATCTTTTTTTATAATAACACGTAAATTGTTATTATATTCTACTTGGTTGTGCAATTTGATTGTTTCTTATTCAAATGACTTTTTGATTTGATTTGTTATGTATAACAAATGTTAATCATTTATAATATAACAACTATAAATTATGGTTAATCGATACCTAAGTTTAAAACTGGAATAGATAATCAAGTTAAATGATTGTTATTCATTATTATTAATAAATATTTTTTTTTAATAAATATTAAAAAAAAACTTTGCTTTTATATACAAAAATGACAAAATGCAACACTCTCTTAGGATCATTGACTTCATTTGCACACCTTGGTCCCAACGTCTTCACCATCTAAGAACTTTGTCAATGATTTTTCATCACCACTGAAGACAAAAGAGATTGTATCATTATCTTCTGCAGCTTCGATGAGCTCTTTGATCTTTCCTGCCATCCCACCGGTTACATCAACCCCATCCGATGCGCCCAAATACTTTTTAATTGTATTGTAATTTGATAAATTGATCAGTGGTATCACTTCCTTTTTGTTGTCATAAACAGGACTTTGCGATATGAATCCGACCCGGTGCGTTTTGAACTTTTTTGATAGAAAAGGAACTATTTGATCAGCAGAAAGAATGCAACTTCCCTGTTCGGTGTCTGTCACAACATCTCCATGTAAAACAGGGATAATACCTTGTGATAACATTAGTTCAAGAGGGCGAAGATAACATTCGGAAATACGTCGTTTGGTTGTCACGATAAAGTCAACGGGATGAAAAGGAAAGACGTGAAGACTTTCTTGTTCCAAAGAGTTGATAACAATTTCGTTCAGCTTTTGCATCGCCATTTCACAGAGTAAAACGCCTTTTGGATGAAATCTTTCCATTAACGAATATTCGGCAGCGGGAACATGTCCAAAAGACCCCGCACCGTGAACTAATATAAACCGGTGTGTTGGGTGTGATTGTTTATAAGAAGACAGAACCTTGCAAAACAAGTGAATTTTATCAAGATACACGGCACCGTTCTCCCCTACTTTTTCAGTTAAAAAGCCCCCGCCAATCTTGATGATGAACAAAGGAGTGTCCATCAACAAATGATGTTTGAATTGTTAGAACTTTTTTATATTGTGTGTTCCCAATTCGGTATTTTATAATAAGACACAAGTCTTTTTATATACGCAACTAAGAAAATGGAATTCATTTATGGGATAGAAATATACAATGAAAGGAATAGATTTATTATTTCATTTTTATAAATAACAATAATAAAGGTGATTTAAAAATGTTATAACAAATAAAAAAAACAAGATATTACCAAAACTATTAATATAATAAAATAAAACAAACTGAATTTAATATTCAATATAGACGTTTTTTAGTAATAAACTGATTATGGAATATTATAAATAAAGCTATATCATTTTTTAAAATAATATAGCTTAAAACCTATTTTGTTTAAGAAAAGCCACAACAAATATTTGGAAATAACAAAAAAGGAACTTGAAACAACAAAAAAATAGATGTTCAAGCAGTGTTGCATCAGTGGGTGTAATCAAGACGGACGCGAGAAATTGTCAAAAATTGAAGGGAAGGTACTTATCAAGCCCGAGTTCATCAACAGTTGCCCACGAGATTGGTTGTTGTGTCAAACACACTTTGTTGAAAACGCAGAGAAACTTGATTGTTGTATTGAGCGATGCAGCAACACGGCTTCGACCAACGAAATACCACCAGAAATGTATGGGAAAGTTAAAGTACGCCCAAATTGCAGCCACCACCTCATCTGTCTTAATCATTTCAAAAGATATTCAACCAACAAAAGTTTGCTTTTTTGATGCAAGGTACCGAATTCATTCAATACATGTTTTGTAACCAAGCTAGACTCCGAAAATATACACTAACAATTAGCGCCACGTGGAAAAACACACAAAGCAGTTGTCCCAAATCTCCCACCTATCAAGCGCGAACCTCCTCCTCAACCAGAACTCCAACCACCAGAAAAAATGAAAATAAAACAAGAGCAACCTCAAAATTTCGACGACGACTCCGCTACTGCGGAAGAACCACTTCCAAAAGAAATGGTGAACGATGCTGGAATTAAATAAAGCATGAATGTAGATTGAAAACACCTGCCAAACAGTAATGAAACATGTTTGGTGTATTTAATTATTTTTAGTGCTGTTTTGTTCATACAGATTAATTTTTATTATAATTATATAGTTGGATCATGGTTAGAAAAATACAGTACAGAGAATGAGCCAGGCGTTTCCAAAATAATTATTGCCGAAAATGTGGTATTATAACGTACGAATTTATAAGAGAAAATGATCATTTTGGTTATGAAATGGTGACGTGGGTAATGAGGATTGTGATTTTGGAAACATCTGGAATGAGCCACCTGACGTGAATTAGTGACCTGATAGTATTTATGTTATAATATTTAAACCATTGTTTTACTATTCATTAAACTGAAAAAACTAAAAATAAACAAAAACTGATAGTATTTTAAATAGTTAAATACCATAAATGTAGTTATTCATTCTGAACAAGAATTTGGAACTTGAAATCGAATTCAAATGAACGCGGGTTTGTTCTCTTTGAGTCGAAAGTAAATTTTCATTATCAGTAATTGTATTGATGCTACGATCAGCCGTTATCTGTTGTGATCGTTGTGCTGGAATAACATCCGTTTCAGCTTGTATCACTTGTCTTGGGACAACTCAAGGCAAAGTTTCCATTTGGATTGTGACCAAGAAGTGATCAACTTCTGGTACTGTGAAGTACTCAATCATTTCTGAAGTAAAAACATTACCGGCTTCTTGGAGTAAACGACTTGCCTCCTTTAACAAAACAAACACCCTCTTCACTCGACCCAAATTAACACCAACAACACCGGACCTTTTGAACGAAGCTACTATTACCTTCTTCGTCGCATTTGATTCCATTACTTCCAACACTTTCTTTGTGATATGTTATTGGCATACCAGTTGGTTCTCTTAATGTATCAGACGTTCTCAACGAATTGTGGAGTCTTCCGTCTTTATCGCTCAATTCTCGGATCCAATCACTTAAACCTTTCTGGAACTCATCTTCTTGTTCAACCATGCTAGTCGGGATTGAAGGAAGTGACCTTTCCTCAATTGTTGTTGAACCTCTTGTATTCATGGCTTGCTTGGTAACGCCAAAAAGCACAAATCTAGTGGTTGGACAAGATGGCTCGAATGAGATACGAAGTAATGAAAAACGACATTGTGGTGACTTGCAAACTGGGTCATTTCACTGCTAATATGACCCGTGAAATTGTCTATTGCAACGACCGCTGTTTCGTTTTCAAAATTAAACAGTTTTCTTGTTTTTTCAATGTGTGGTATGAGATGGTTAACTAACCACAGTTGAAAAATAGTTCCACTGACAAAAACCGTTTTTGTATAATAAAATGACCAACTAAAAAAGTATGCTTCAAGATCAGAATAATATTTCTTTTTCGGAAAACCAGTTGCTGGAGTAACAAAAGAACCATCAAAAGAAATACAAACTATACATGTGCTACGTTTGCATGAGTGAGACACTCCAATTTTGGGTTTTTCTGAATCCTTAAGTTTTTCGTACTTCTCTTTGGTAACATAAACAAACATGTTATGTCTATCCATCCAATCAGAGAAACCAACTTCATCTACATTGAGAAACAAGTGCTGCTGGTGTTCCATTTAACAGTTTAAATGATTTGTAATTGTCGTAAATGTGGATGAAATAAACTTGTACTCGTTCCAATTCATCTGGCACTGCTTTGATTTTCACACAATCGTGAAAATGATCATGTGTCTTCTTAAACCACTGTGTGATATTTCGAAGAAAGGATCAATTTTTTCACAGACATTTATTATAAGTGAATTAGTTAATGCAATTTTCTTTTCTGAACATAATGGTATGAGTGTTTGAATATATTTATCCATTCTTTTTGTTATTTCACGAAAATGCCAATCTGGATCAACAGTGTTTGGTTTCTTTAAATGATCAGAAAGTGTTTGAAAAGTGATGCTGAATAATCTACTCATGATTGTTAGAAAAAACCAGTATTATTTGACAGTAATTTGATTTGCTTTGTCATTGTTAAAGATTCCAATAAATATTGTTTTAATGATTGTGAATTTTTTATCTTTTCAAGTAGTTTGTTAACTTTTTCCCTTTTTGTTGGAGTGTTAATATGCGGAGCCAAAGCGTTCCTTCTGATTTCTTGAAAACTTAAAGTTTTTCTTTTTTCGGTCATTCTTTTCGACATTTTGTTATTTAAAGTTTTTGTTATTCAAATATATTTTGTTCTTAAAATAAAAAACAAATTTCAAATAAAACTATATAAAAAACCATAAGGTGGCTCATTCACGTCAGGTAGTTAATTCTTCATACCGTATATATAAAAAATAATACTTATTCCCAAAAAGGTGTATCTTTTTATCTTTTTAATTAACTTTGTTTTTATTACAGTTAATTGGACTTATTGTTCATTGTTATAGTTTTTTTAAATTATAATATAATATTTGTCCAAACATACTCCGTAGCTTTTGCGTTTTTTTTAAAACCCCAGTCTTTTTTCAAGCTTTTTTACCAAAAATGCATTTCTCTTTACCAACTTATTTTTCTCAATGTAAATAAACTAAAATTGGAGGTGTTTTTGTAAAATAATAAATGTTACGAAAAAAATATTATAAATCTTTCAATTTTTGGTTATGGTTTTGTTCAAAATGCCGAATTTAAAAACAAAACCTTGGAAGAAAAAACAACTATTTTTATCTTTTCAAATTGATAAGTTTGTTATTAAAATAATATAATAAAATTTATAAATATATTTGTTTCAAAAAGTGTTTAGTTATATTTATATTACATATCAATTAATCATATATCAATTAAAAATAATTAATATTGAAAATAAATATATTATATTATATTATATTTTCATTCAATTAAGTTAACAACAAAATAAATTTTAATTTGTCTTGAAATAATATTAATATTAATATAGTGTTAAATATAATTAAACATAAATAATTAAAAAGTGAAATAAATTAAAATTACATTTATTTAAACAAATTAACAATAATAATTAAACATTCAGAATTAATAATAATTAACAAATTAAAATATAGTAATTATAATTTAGACGATTATTTTAATAATAATCATTCATTGTGTTAATAATTATTACAAATAATTATTCAAATAAAATAAAATATATTATTAGATATATCTCTATTTCAAACAATAAAAATATAAATAAAATTTAATTTATTGAGGTGTTTTATATCAATTGTCGAAATTGGTCTTGAAATCAAAAATCATTCTGTGATTCAAATTACGGTAATATAGTTTTGCAAACACACCATCAATATCCAAATTCAAATGAAGAGCATGTTTCACTTGTTAAAAAAATCTTTCAACAGAAACCGAAGTAGAAAAAGTAGTAAGTAAAATATTTACTATTTCTACAAGTTTTGGATAATCTTTCTTCTCCATAAAAGGATAAACATCCAAAAGGTTATAACTTCTTACATATCCTGTTTTTTGATCAATTCAATGTCAAATTTTGTCCTTAAGTAATTACCTTTTGATTCTGATTTGATCAAATCCAAATTACTTTCAATAAGAGATTCCAATTTTTCAAGTTCTTCTTTAGTATCTTCAAATCCTTTGGGTATTGTAAAGTCACTTTTTTCTTCAAGTGTGTCATCAATAATTTATTGATAATTTCATCTGGTTTGTAAAACATGTACATGAGCCCTTCAATGTTAAAGTCGGTATTATCAATTCCTATTAAATTATTACCATTGATTAGTTCAATATCATTCTTTGGTAATTCTCCGAACATTTCACCGAGGATATTGTTCACTTCATTCTCGTCAATACAATGTTCAACTTCTTCAATTTCTTCAGAAGTGGTTTCAACAACATCTTCACTATCAACCCCGATTCTGTTTTCATCATCATCCATTGAATTATTTGTACTGTTAACCAAATAATCTGGCAAATTGGAACACTTTTTCAAAACATCAACAAATTGTCTGATATCTTCAGAAGATGAAATCGTGTTGAATCTGATATCAAAAGATTGAATAACAGTTTGTAATAAACACTGTAAAAAAACCAAGTCAACTTCAGTGTTTGGGGTGTTACAATTCGAGTCATTACCCAAGAAATACAAATCTGAATAATCACTTTTTCGCACATTATTCAAAACATTGATCAGATACATTCGGAATAATTGAACTCGCTCCCAAAATACAAATATAAATGATTTTTCTTCTTGGAATACAGCGCAAAGACTTTTCACAAGATACTTAACATCATGCAAAGCTTTGAAATGCATAAGTGTTTTATCTTTATCCAATTCAAATGTTTGTATTATTGGGTAAAGATTTGTTTTTTTAACAAAGATCTTTTTCATGTATGCAATCATATCACTGTGTGCTTTTGGTTGTTGTTGATACAACAAAATCAGACCATAATTTTCTTCGATATCTCTGATATTTTTTACAATCTCAAGCCATCGAGTCCTTGATGCCACACCAAGTGGAGGAGTTTCATACTCTCTAAACAAATAAATCTTTTCAGAGTATCACTTTGACAGAAATAAGTAACAAAAGCAGTCATAATTGCAGTCTGATTCATTTGGTTGCTATCTTCCGCAATTAAATTTACTCTGTGTCCAAAACAACTGACACTTTTTAAAGTTCGAGACACTATGCTTCCTTCAATGGTTTTGAGTTTTGCTTTTTTGACCAGATTGTAAAATTCAACAAATAGACCAACGTTTTTAGATGTATTAGAACTTGTTGAATCGAACACCAAAGAAATGATCAAGTGAATTGGAAATTCTATATTTAGTAATCTTGTGAATAACCAATTGGCCATTGCTACTCCACTTTTTGAATGGTTGTATTTTTCTAGGAAAAGTGGACAACATTTAATCACCTCACCAGTTGAATAACGCATTAAAACACCCATAATATCTTGACCTTTTTTAGACAAAGAATCAATTTCAATCGTTGCGCATATTCCTTTTCTGACTTCTTTGAGATCTCTTTCTCTGCGCATTTCGTTGTATTCATTCATTATTTTACAAACAGTAGAAGGACTTATTGACACCTTTTCGAAATTTTCAGGATTCATACAAAAAACCAATCTTTGATAATACTTAAGAACATCTGCAACTCCGTTCATTTGAGACTCTGAATAATTTAGATCAATAAAAGTCGATGAAATCATAAAGGTTAATAACATCTTTTTCAATACATGGAGTGATGATTTTCTTTTTGGTTTGTTTTTTCCTTTTGCTGTTCTTCTTTCGTCTCTTAATTTTTCCATTATTTCATATTTTTTAAACAAATAATCACACAAAACTAAAAAGCGTTGTTTTGATGTACTTCCACTCTCTGCAACAAATTCTCTAATGTTGAAAAATAACAACTTTTTGTCCCATTTGTTTAAACTTTTCTTTGTGATTTCATTGAAGAAGTTGTTGTTGAATATGTCGGTTTTATTTTTTATCGTTTTTTCATCTTCTCTTTCCTCCTTTTCATCATTTTCATTTTGGTCAATATAATCATTATTTGTATCTTCAAATTCGTTATCACTTTCTTCATCTGAGTTTTGTTCTAATGACATATTTTCAGTGTCAGATGAAAGAGTTATATTATCGTTGAAGTTGTTATAATCACTTTGTTGTAGTAAAGTATTTGTGATTGGGTTGTTTTCAATAGTTTTATTGGATGGTGTTTGTACTTGTTCTTGTACACTTTGTATGACTGATTGTCCTAAGATAACACGTTCGTTTTGGATCTGGTGTTCTTGCATTGCTCGATTTCTAAGAGGGTTGGGAGTTTCGAAAGTAAATGGCAAATCTAAAACAGGAACGAAAGCAGGAGTGGTTAAGTTCCCACTCTTTTCCACTTCATCATGCGGTCGGATACCCTTTAGATTCCCATTACTTTCTATTCCTCCACTCCTCTGTGACTCTTCTTCTTCTTCGTTTTCTAACATCATAGTAGTTTTTCCAAATGTGTTACTGACATTATTCTCAACACTGAAAAATGATGGAAGACATTGAACAGGAACAAAAGCTGAAGGTATTGCGTTTTGTATATTTGCATCTTCCATTTGCATAGATTGTTCACTTTGTTCAAATGTGCCATTTTTACTTGTTATTATAAACGTATCAATAACTGTTGTCGTGTTTCTTCTTGGTCTTTTTTTTTGGGGGGGGGGTGGTTTTTGAGTTTCAATTTTTTAACCAACTCATCTTTGTCTAATATACAACTAATTTCAACAAACGAATTTTGAACCGTTGTTTTATTTCCAGTAATTAAAAAATTTGAATATTGTTTTTTAATTAAATCCAAATTGGGATCATTATCGGCCAAATTTTCGGGAAATTTAAAGCTATGGGTCGAATAATGGCGGTATAGCGAACCGGGTGCATACCATTTATTGTGGGTAAAACAATAAAACTTTGTTTCAAAACCATTTTCTTTTGCTTTAAAAAACCCCTTAAAAACCAAAATTCACAAAATTCAAATTTAACGTTGTTGTGTATAAGTTCCATTTTTTGTTTTTTGAGTTCTATTTTTTAATTATTTTTAGGTTTTTTACGATTGTTTGTTATAGAACTTAAAATAATCTATTAATATACTACATACGCTATATTTACTATAATTTAACTATAAAAAAATATAAAAGCATTAAATATTTTTATAATAGTTGTAATAAAAAACTTTAATAAAACATAAAATTCATTAAGCTTTGACAATACAAGGTGAAAAAATATCGAGACATAGAATAGCAGCTAGAACCATAGTCGATAAGTGAGCCACTTGAATAACCCGATTAAGGCTTAAAAGACTTGGCCGATACAATGGAAAGCCTCATAATAAATACAAAGGACAAAATCCACGACGACATATAAAGACTGTCTGACGCTGCTAAAGTCGCTTTACAGTTTGATGACATGTCGGATATTATTAGTATGGACGCGATCTTGGGTAAAATAAAAGACAACCTGACGTTAAAACAAACAACAATTTACAGTCTAAATTCTATAGTGTTGCTGATATGATTGAACAAAAACAGTAAAAGAGTCTCGAGTTTCATTTAAACACGACTTTAAGAATTCAACAAGTTGCAGAATTAGATGTTCTGATGATTTGAAGAGATAATAACTTTAAGAAGTTTGTTAAGAACGCAACAAATACACATATTCTTCGCATTATTTGGATGTGTGAAATCAGGCAGACATAAAAGTATCCGCTTCGATGTTATTCATATTCGAATTTTTAAGCTAAGACTGGTTTAATTTTACAGTTTTTTACTATTTTATTTGAATTGTCATAAAACATATTTTGAATAATCTTGTTATTATTAATCATTTCCCAAAAACTCATTTTGTATACTTTTTAAGTGTTAAAAATCCACATTTTTGGTAATAAAAATTCTTTTGAACACTTAAAGTTTTAATTATAATAAATATTAATTGTTTTAACTATATCAAGTCAGAATTATTTTAAGTAAACTATATAATAACTATTGAATTGCTAAACTTTATTCAAAATGTATCATAATAAACGATACAAATATCATTATAGCTGTTGGGCGACTTTACAGTCCCTTTGAAAATCGCCGACTTTTTAGTGGTCTTAAAAGTTGTTGACCTAAATATTTAGTTAAATAACTATTCAAAATACCATTTATCATGTAAAAGATATTCAAAAAATAAACCATATAAATTTAATATAATTATTATTAAAAAATAAAATGAAACAATACCGTCCCAATTATATCTTCTCAAATCATTTTTTAAATTATATTTATATGATTATAATATAACAAATTATAACAACTATTGTGTTTTTACACATTTTTGAGACTATAATTAATATAATATAATTTATTAAAGTTAATAGTTATTTAGTTCTAAATAAAGTCTTTTTGAACTAAAGAAGTCACTTCAAAAGTCGGCGACTTTTAAAGGGACTCAAAAAGGCGCCGACTTCTCAGTAATATCATAAGTCGCCGAACAGCCATTAGAGAAATTTAATATAATCATCACCTGTTAGTCAATAAACACATAATTGAATTGTTAGAATCATACAAATGTTGGTATTCAAATAGTATAACATCATTACCACAATGATGACTTACAAAAATGCTTTTAATATTATTATTTCTTTTTTGTTATTTACTTTGGTACTTGAAAATTTCATTCTCCTCTACTAAGTATATACATGTATTTCAAATTCAACGTTTTTAAGCTCATTAAGTATATTATTGATACGTATATCACCGTTTTATGTCCG